GTCTGCCGGGTGAATCCAATTCGCGGCGTGGACCTCTGCATGATCGGATGACCCTTGATGAATTCGACAGGTGGTCGAGTCTTCAGCAGGCATCGGGCTTCGCCTGCGAATAGGCCTTTCTCTTTGTGGATGACGCTTTTCGGACCAGGGGCTGTTGGTGGGAGTTAAACAGCCCGCCGATATTATTCCTGAGGCTCATCATAGAGAGATACCAGTCTCAACAGAAAACTAGAGATGGATTGGGGCTTCCAATCTGATGTGAAATGTGCGCTCGATATCCCGACAGGAGCAAGGGGGAGATGCGTCCTCTTTCTTCGATTCCTGCGCGAAATACATTCACGAAGGAGGTTTCCGGCGCAAGTCTTTCATCTCTTTCGAAGATTACTGCGAATTCGGCATAGGCCGCGACAACCACGCGAGGAGCGCAGTGAACTAGATTGTATGAACGGTTCACTAGAAAAGTTCTTCTCGGAAACGAGGGATAGCGAGAGTTTAAGGGCAACACCCTTCTTTGTTGGGCAGTGGCGTTCACAGAGACACGCTTTTTTTATTATCGAAATTCATCTGCTTGTCAAATATCGACCAAGGGAACCTGTTTTCGGCTCTTCAGCTTCCTCCTTTTTTCCGCTATGATCCCGAGAAAAAAAACCAATCCAGCGGTAGTATTGAGAAATTCTACCCGCGGTTCCGCCGAACGGTATACCGTTCACTTCACTGCTGAATGAGCACTCGATACCGTAGCGGAGGCGAGCTTACACTTCTGAAATATTATTTTTCTTTTCCACAATCAACCTCCCTTTCGCTCCAGGTAACTCTATAATGTGCAACTGCGTTTCCTTCTCGAATGAACGATACTCGATTCCTAATTCCAGTTTTCGTTCCTTAGAGTACCCTCAGCCTTCCGATTCCCAGAAGCATGAATGACATGAGGCTGTCGTCGTATGTAGATCATGAATGTGAAGCTTTTCGAGTAAAGATGATTGCTGAAACTCTGTGTTCGGCAAACTCGATATGCCTCGGGAGTGACTTCCCGGTCGCGGCTCGGACTTGCCGCGTCGAGAATTCCAGACATCATCCGTGGCCTGGAACTAGTCTACCTTCGACTGAGCGCTTTGCCACGCGAAAAAACCGTTCGTTTTGACCATGCGCATAACCATTCCATGGACTATTCTAATGAGGCAGCCCATGGCTACTGATATGAGAGCTAGGTTCGTGAATTCTCGTTGTCAAAGCCTCTTCCCCCGAATGACTCCACGTAATTGCGACTCTTACGGCATAGCTCTTCCGAGTCAAGAAAGGAAACAATCGACTCACATTTAGATAAAAAAAAAGAAATGGGGGAAAGAAAAGGGTAAAAATGAAATTATTACAAGTGGCAGGAAACCGCGTGTCGTCTCAGATTACATCTCTTTGTCGTCAAGAAAGCATAAACGTGCGGCAAGCGTCCCGGGCTGACAAATAAATGAAAATGCGAACAATCATCCCGGGACAAATGTATATAGCCCTATGACCGTGCAAAGAAGGCTTGGGGAGCATCTCTGCGCGATATCCCGCCAGCGGGATCCAGAGGCGCGCCAGGAATTTTTTCCGGGTCCTTTATTCGAGTCCTGCAGGGGGCCAGGCGACCGGAATGATGACGCGCCTCCTCGGAATCTTCGCTTCTCCATTATGACTGAAAAAATTTTGAACCAAAATGCTGGAGAATACGACCGTCCTCGAGCGCAGGACGTTCGGTGGTCACAGGAGTGACAGAGATTCCTCCACCCGTTCAGACAAATGGATAGACTATAGATAAATTGTTCCCCAGACAAGAATCATGCATGCGACTGCAATCACGGTGTATTAGACTAACAGCGCCTTCGGTCGACAGACGTCAATTCACGCAGATCGTGATCTCACGCCGACCGCGATTATTCAAATTTCATCGATTCCTGCAGCTGCCCTTGACATGCCGCGGACGGAAACTACGAGTACGAAGTCCAAGTCATAATAATAGCCAGTTCGTCTCTGTACTCGCCTATTCATTCGTCCGGCTGCTCCTCTGATTGTCTGGCTCGACTCATCCGATGCAAACGGCCGGTGTTTCCTCCGATCAGTCATTCAGTCGACCAGTCGAATGAACCAGGTTGTCGTTGCATTTCTTCCGAGGCAGTGCTCACGCGCCTCACGACCACAGACAAAGTCAAGTCGAGCAGCAAGCTGTCATTCCTCCCAAATCGCGAGACTGGGAAGATCGGTTCTGTGAGCCTGCGCGCGCGGGAGATGGATCCAGCACCTTCCTACTCTGAAAAAGACAACATAATATGTATTTCTTATTGAAGAAGAACAATCGGCTCGAGGGGATAGATCACCTGCTCGATGGAGAGCGTGGGCTCTGACTATTCTCGTTCGGCTCGGAGAAGATGCGAACCAATTTATTCATAGATCTTTCCACGGGGAGAACTAGAAACCAGGTTCTTCCTGGAGATAAACATTGCCAGCGCTCCATATACTTTTATGGACGGTCATAAATATCTAATTCGAGATCGGCCAACTCTTTCGCCGGTGTACCGGCTGACGGAGTCGTGATCCAGATGACCATGAGCCGCACCCGCTCGCAGCCGCGTTCTAACGTAACCGAACCAGTCCAGCCGACGGCTAGATGTCACATGCCTGCGGTGTCCCCGTGAGAATTTTTCTGAATCCTCGGAGCCTAGGAAAACTGGAATTCTCGGGGTGACTTTCGAAAGAATTAAATCTTCCACGTGGAGCTCTCGACACAATGCAATACATCAGCGTCCGGTCGATGCAGTTTTTGCCTGAGAAACTTGGAAAAATATTTCGACGAGTCTGTTCGGTGCATGAAGATCTCGCGCTGTGATCTTTCGTCCGAAGTCCCGAACCCTTGAAAAATCTTCAAGAATGGAAAACTCTCCGTGAGTCGTGAAATCTTGTGATTTCTCACCAAGCCAGCAACTTCTCGATTTGCTGCCTCGCTGCCTTACCTGGTCTTATCGATATTTTCGGAAGCATCGCTAGAAGTTGGGGCTTCAAACCTCGCTTCCCTGTTGAGCAAATCGGATTTTGGTTGCCGTTATCCACGGAACTGAAAATCGAATATCTGGCGTGAGTTCTTTGTACACGCCACAGAGCGTATGCCCGACTGAAGACTCCTCGCAGTAGCATAATGCGGTTAGAAGCCCCAGGAACATCCGCGCCATAAGGCCAGCGCCGAGTTGGATTTGTAAAACCAATTTGAATGAAAATAAATTAGGGGGACGGGTCGAAGCTGATCCGAAAAGTTATCGGTTTTCGTCTCTCTCGGGTTGATGAAACACGAGCGTCTCCGGCGCATCCTCTGCTCGTTGGAAAATTAAATCTCCGAATTTCCGCTTACATATCGCGATTACTGATGAAATCGGACAGATAAGATTGTCGTCGCTCGCGGTGAACGTGAAGTTCGTGGGTGGGAGATATCTCCTCAAAAGTCTGAGTCACTATCTCTGGACTGAGTAAAAGGGATAAGCAGCTTGTTCAAGACTGTCTTATGCGATATCCAATCGTGCTTAGCCTATGGCTTCGATCCTCTCCTTTCTCGCTCCTTCGATAAGCTAGACGGATCTGAAACTGAAATCAAGGATTCATTTATTTACCCACATTGAGAAAACGTCGATGCCATCAGTCGATAGCGTTATTATTCCATTATTCGACCTCCGGCGTCTATCGCCGCGTGGAATCGTCGCCCAATCAATTCAACAGGTTACGGGATCATTCCAAAGGATATACGCGGGGGGGCCGAATTTTCACTTATCAAGACTTCGAGAGGACCCGGCTGTCGACCAGTTCGAATCCCCAGACTTCGAATCGTCCGAAGATGCTGATTTCCGAGACATAATGTTGTTACCTGCACTCATCCACCTTCGATCAGGGCTTCTTAAAACAAAAGCGCCGCGGGACGATTGATGATAGGAACTCCTGAACGCGGGACTGCTGAGCCGCGCGAGCGAGGTGTCGAACAGTGGTAGCGGTAGATTAGCGGCCGAAAATGGGACGGATCATCGCGCGCTCAAAACTCAACCGAAATGATGAGATTATTCTGTCATTCAGCGAGGATTCTGAACAGGACCCCGCAAGAAAGAAACCCAAACAGAATCAGCTTGATAGAAACAGATTGAATTCTCTCTCTCGAAGCGACGGGGACCGCTCACGGAGAAGGCTGTACGTTCGAAGCGCGTCGCTTCTTCGAACGAGCTCATTGAAGTCATTGATTGTTGTGGCTATGATGATGACTCGGCTCAAATTAATGAGATAATTGTTTTTCTTCCAACGACCCGCGTTGCCGAACCATTTCCGCGCTTCCCTCCATGCGGCCGTGGGAGGACCGATCGATGATTAAAATTGTCGGTGTGCGTTCGTGTGGCAACAGATAGAAAAACAGAAAAGTACAATAATAATAATTGTCCTCGGAAATGCCTTAAAACGCGTCGTGCCGGCATAACCCCCGCAAATTCTGACGACGCGAGGCTTCGCTCCGACATCATGTCGTGGGCGGCTTGACCCGGAAACACCAGCACCTGCCGGAGTGAGAAATTCCCACTTTAGGGAACGACGACATCGACCGATGGCTGTGGTGGAGATAGGAAGTAACAAGGAATCTTACGCCAATCCCGCATCGTCGCCGAACTTGTGCGAGCTCCCACGAAGAAACAACTGCATGACGATGGTGGCTAAAGCTCCTGTTCTGGAGGAATCGGTGACGGATGCAGCTGGCACGCTTCTCGAAACAGCGGGAACATATCGAGGACTGGAGTCACGAATCGGGCGACTCTCTGAGCAAAGAATCACGGTTGACCAGGGCCTCTAACGAGTTCGAACCAAGACGAATCGCTCCCATACTTTTTCTTCATCGGTCCATGCTTAGCTCCCGAGGCTCACTGGCACACTGCTAGGTTTTCGGAATCTGGGATGAGATTAATGCTGACAGTACGTGACCTACGGAGCTAAAATTTGACTCTTTTCAGGCATTCCTGTGTCTCTGGATCGACAGTGGAGAGGAAACCGAGCCACGTCAGCGCCTCCCGTCAAGCGACACGGTATCCCAGTAGCCAAGCCCGTGAACTCTTTGAGCAACCGTGAGTAGCGTTCTTTCTCCAATGACCCCAAGGTCAAATTCAGCCTTTTTTTCACGGTCGAGCGGTCAGCAACTTTCCTCTGTAACGTGAACACCGCTGCAGCAACGAAATTTTAATTTCGCTCGAATCAGACGAGATTCACACGGATTTACCGATCGCTCCGAAGCTAACTGAGGATGAGTTCATTCTGGAGGCAAGACTGTCGAACTCGCGGGATTTCTCATCGATCATCTTTCAGGCACACCGAGCTACGCAAACGGGGCAGGCGGAGGACCAATGGTTGCTGGAAGCGTCGACGAACAGGTGTTCCTCCAGGCTTTCGAGGAGAACACCCCTCTCTTGCAGCTGCAATCGTCCCGAGATCTCGACATGTACATGACACAGGTGGGTGCTCGGTGTCCACGGTCAGTTCAATCTGTCTCGAAGTCGCATCAGCGGCGGATCCAGGGGCGATAAGGCGATCGCCTCCCTCATGATTTTCCGAAATCCCGATACCTCTCATGTTGAGGCAGCGCGCGGACTCTGACCCGCCCTTTCCTGGAGAAATTGATCGCCTTACCGTGAACTCGGACCCGCCACTGGGCCGAAACGTCTCTCGATCGGATGCCGACGCGAGTTCGGTCCGATTCTCATTCATTTGTGGTTGACGGGAGAGAACCATCCTCTCCTGATCATTATCTAGTTAATTTTATCGTATCGTTGGATCGGGAATTTTCCCGGTTCTTCTCTTATCGATCGCGCTCATAACGACCTAACTCACCCGGATCTGTTCCGACTACAGGTGCGCACGGCGCTCGGCAACCCAGACATAGATTGGGAGAAACGTATGGCCATACTGAAAACCCTCCGAGGTAGGTTGAGCTTTGGGGCAGAAGATAAGGCAATCCCGGAATACACGGGAATCTCACCCGCTTCACTTCCTAAGCTGAATGTCTCCCCATGCCTGGTAGTGATATCCCGGATATGAGGGCGACATAAATCTGCCGCGACATGCAGAGTCGCGTTCGACCCGCGATGATTCCGCTAGTATGATATTTTTCTCCTGTGCATCTTCCTTGTGTTTTCGGAGAAGCGGGGTCAGACGCGGTGAACTCTCTATTCAATGACGTTTTATTTACTCTTCGCCGACTACCCGCAGGCGTCGTACGATCGGGCGGAGCGATGTATGAGGAATTTTTCGCGGCACTCCGTCTTCTGGAAATCCCGTTCCAGACATCGGTTCGCGACCTCCGATCCCAAATTGTCCGGGAAGCGTGCATCACGATGGCGTAAGTGATTCGACTGAGACCGTCCCTCTAAAGCCCCCGTGTTCGAGTCTTTACCGATAAGTCGGAGTATTTCGGTCGAAGACTAAATCATATCTGACTTTATCAGACAACGCTCCAGTCTGAAGAAACTTTATACATCCATTGCAGATACCTCTGCCGTGAACTGGGACGTCGCGTGGATCACTTTTGCGAAATTCTACTGCCGTCATTGATCCAGCTGATCGGCTCCGCAGCAAAAATCATGTCTTCGTCAGGTGAGAACCGATTCCGCGATACCTTTGATGTATTATTCAAAAGCGGTTGCGTATATACTTCTAGGAAGTTCACGCGAAGCGTATCGAGCACGCGTGGCTTCCCCTTCGTCTCGTTTTTTGTCTCCAACATGGTCAAGCCGGACAACTTTTTCCCAGCGAAACGATGGCAGTGATAGCCGATGAATGTCATGTGTTTAGTTGGCACACCGCTCAGGCTGGATGGTGCTCCCGGTTCCCTCTTCCGATGAATCCAGCCTTCTGGAAAGCCAATCGACGAGCTCGAACACGCGTGTCCACATGGTTTCCATCATGGTTCCAGTTAGAACCATTTATCGCCTCTTTGGAGTCAGAGTGCGCCTTTCCGTGGCGAGCTAAAAGAAAAGTGCGGTTGATGTCGCGGAATCCTCGAGAAGATACCCGAATGTTGCGTGGACTCATTCGGGCTCCCGCATAATCCGCAGAAGAAAGCAGAAGAGAATCGAAGAGAATCACGGAAACCACATGGGAGAATTCATCCGTTTTCAATCTAGTTCATGCTCTGAGGGTCAACCTTCGAAGGTTCTCAGGCGTCGGATTCGAAGTCCCGGTGGCACTCCATGTGTTACGAGGTTATCGCGACATTGTGAGGCCCATAAGTCTCTTTGTTGTTCCGCTCACTACTGGCGAATCCCGCCTTCGATGCGAGCAATTTAATGATGAATGAATTTTCGAGAATGATACCACGACTATCACCGGAATAAGACCAATAAACGGTGCTAACGGTACTTATTGTCTTCCTCCTTCCTTGTTCCTTCTTTCGCGTCGCGGTCTGGAACGATGGATCGGAGCGTAATGAGACAGCCGCGCTCGATAAGGGTGAATAGTTCCCAGGCAACGACGACTCCGCGCATTGATTGTTTTAAGAAACATCGCGTACCCGATTCCGGCATATGGAACGCGATTCGAATGACGTGGAGTCATCGACTGCGGTCACGTCTTCTCGCAATGGATTTTTGGGAATGACTATTTTGAAGCTCTTTCCAAGTGCCCGGGACGTGGCGCCGAGCCGCAGATGTACTCCTGCAAGGCTGAGCTCGAGGGGCATGAAGCACCTGTGGCCACTCGGTCTTTCTGCCGCGACGGCATTCTGCGGAGTGATCAGACGATCCTCGTATTTGAAGAGATCGGGTCTTTTCTGTCTTTGGACCCCTTCGTGATGGCGTGGCCGGAGCACGTCACGTGCAAAGGTCCAATTACTTGCTTCGACCGACGTTCCAGCCTTACGGAGTTTGTCTGACAGTATCGACTGCGCTCGAAAACTGTCCGGACATCATTGAAGACCCGAAATAATTGTAATGAATGCATCATTGTGGACCAGAGTCACACGTGAACAGAAAATCACGCCGTGAACAAGAGGCACTGGATCTTCTGAATCGCATGCCGCGACACCCACCTGGGACCGACAATTCAACTTTGAACTTGTTCCATTTCACCCAATCGACGGGAATGTAATGTTAAATCGATTCTGGAAGGAGCGGCTCTTTGTTCGGTGACGGACAAGCCCGGAGCTCACAATGATTCGAATATTGGAAGGCGACGACTGAACGTTATTCTTCTTGTTCCTCATTGCAGGGATCACGTGCATACATTTCATGTTACAACATACTCACTCGCCAAAGTTGATACCGCTGATCACCAGAAATCTCACCTCAAAGAGCCGCGTAAGTGACCCCAGCTGTGCTCGAGGGGCTTCTATACATCTCCTATAATTGGTCTTTGTCAAATGAGCTCAAGAAATGCTGCACACGGGGCTCACACTCTTGACCTCAACTCTTGAGTTGATGAAATTATTCGTAGTAGAGGCGGCTCAAATGATCTAATGATCGGGAGAGATTCGCGAAAATTCGACTCTGGGCGCAGGGGCTCCGGCAAGTGAGCATCCTACCCGTGTAGAATGAAATGCGAATTCTAATATTTTTTTTCACTCAGGAAATTCGCCGGTATTGTTGTGAATTTTTGCATCAAGTTCTGCTGATATGGCCCGCCAGTTCGCTCGAGAAACACATTATAACAATTCAGGACGCCATCAAGAAAGGTCAGTTCCCACGACCCCAGGGCTGATGACAGCAGAACGGACGACGCAGAAAAAAAAGAGACAACATCGAAAACATGATTCTAGGCTTTTCGGTCTTTTTTTCGATCGTGGCACCGGCTCTCGACTCGACTTGAACTGCTCTCGTAGAATCTAAACAAGACATCGGATCCCTCTACCATAGGAGAATGTCGATGGTGTTCAGATAGGCTATCGCCATCGCCAGGAGAAGTGTCATTATATGAGTGTACGCATAAGCCTTCCCTGCGATGGTGGGGTTGGATTATTCCCTCTCCAGGTCCCTGCTCATAATTTCGCCTAAATGTTCTCATCCCCGTCCACGCGATACAGACAGGCTTCTCGTTCACGTTTTTTCCCCGATAGTTTTCTACGTTCCCTCTGACTGTGGCGCAAGTCAGCCCGTCATGGTGTACTGTCCTTGTCCCAATTGAATATTAGCGGAATCGCTAATCCTGAATAAATATTTGTCTTCGCCGACGGCAGCATCGAATCCGAACGGAGCAGTGGATCGGTAGCTCTTCAGTTCTGGGAATCGACTCGGCAGGGATCACTCATAAAGTCCTCGATACTATCCCGGCCGGGAGGTCTTTGCAGAATATTCTCATTGCGGAAGTCAGACAGAAACGCCCAGACTGTGTCCACGGTTGCCGTGATGGAAATAACGATCCCTCGAAGTCGCTAGCGCCTGGAATCTCGCCTTGTGTCTAATATCTCCCTGACAAATGCTCGGACGATTCGATTCCTTGAGAGGATCGCTGATCGGGATGGCTGATGCTGTAACGTTGCTCACAATAAAGACTGGCAGGGGATTTCCGGCAGAAAATTTTATTCATAACGGTGGGAAAGAATGGATTGTTACGATCGCAAGGCTTACGAAATAGACCGACGGCGTTGTTGACACAGACGAGTATTACATTCACAATGAGCAGCGGAACTGAAGACACACAATGGTCGGAACACTTGATACATTTCAGAGACATTGTCCGCTACACCCGTCTTAACACTCTTTGTTTTCGGAAGCGGACACGGTTCTACAAATTTGGACCGAGCCGAAATTGATAAGCTGCCATCTCCCCGGGGTTTTGAAGGCATTTCCATGAGCCGTTCCGCGACGGATTCCGCCGACGTGGCAAAGATTATAAATTCATTAATTCCTTGATTGATGATGACTCGAATATCGATTTTTTCCAGGCATTTCGGACGCCGACTCGGAAGCGCGAAGTCAGGCCCGAAAAGCATTCTGGGGTTTCGCTGATCATTTCCCGAAAGAAGCTGACAGACTTCTATTGTCGCTAGACGTTGCCAAACAGCGCCTTCTTCACAACGGAACAAACGGTGAGAATCTATCAGTGTCGAGGAGGCATACCGACCTCCTTTCGAATTGTCTTTTTCGGAACTAAATCATACATATCCGACTTCGGCGCCCGCAGGTTACCCGAGCCATATGATGAGTCAGTCTTTCTCATCGGCGTCGCTCACTCGATCATCGTTAGGCTTGAGTTCCTTAGGCTCGGGCAGAACTCCGTCGTCTGAGAGCCTCCATAGATCTATAACAAGCTCGAGTCCTTACGCGACGACTTCTCGAAGTGAGTACCGAGAACGTCTCAATGGAATTCCAGCGCAGATGAGAAAGCCTGCTGACTAATTATTCCCATGTCTTACTATGTTCATCCCTGCATTTACGAACTTCAGCTCCAGCTGCGCGTCGATCGAACAGCTCGATAGACTCGAATGCAGTGCGCGCAGCGCGTTTGCGTCTGTCGGCGGCCAGCTCGACGACGAACGTTGCACGACAGAGCTGTAACTCTACCCCTACGACTCCCAAGGTTCAGCCTCGAAATGCCTTTGGATTTGGACTGTCGTTGTGTAAGTGCATGGGCATTCCTTCGTCCTCTCATTATCTGAACTCTTTTAAGGATCCACCGGGAGCATGATGACAAATTTTGGGAGATTCCTTCGTTGATTTTCTCATCGGAATGCTCCATGTATTCGTACAGTAGGCTCATTTCCCCCCGATATCTTGAATCGTTCGGAGATCGGGACGTCGTGCCCCTCTTGGTTCGGAAGATCCCGCTGAGAAGGGGGCGCTGGATCTGATTATGAGAAGCTGTATGTATGGCGAGACTAATAATGATAAATGAGTATTGGATCTGACCGAGCCCTGAGATCCCTTCTTACATTGCTTTTCGAATGGTGCTTGGATGTGCGACGGATTGAAATTGTACAGTTCTGATTTTGTTTCTATTTGTACGACTGAGTGTGCTACCGATAGGTGGAGGGCTTTTTTCGAAAACCAGCTCCTGAACGGTTGGTGTATTGGCTCGAGTTCCGTCTGAGTGAGTGATGGTATGCGTGGAAAGCGGAAGAAATGAGCTGCCGCCACTCCGAACACTGTGTACCGTGGCGTAATCCATGCGTTCTCGGGGAGGGCGGATATCGGGATTCAATTGTTGAGGACACTCCTCATCGGAGAGATCTTCCATCGACTCGTTCCTCGGTTAGACGGAGTATAGATCTGGATAAGGATTCGTGGGACTCCGGATCTTGGGAAACGGATGACCATGAAACTCGAGTATGATGTTTGAGGAATCGAGGGGAATTATCATCCTGGATTATCCTCGCGGTTCTTACTAATGGAGCCGGCGGAAGACTTCGGGGAATAAATAGAAGCCATCGTCGATGCTGAAGCGGACAGTTCCGTTGGATTCCCTCAGCTCAACCCTTGCCTTAACTTGCAGCCCGCAGCTCAAGCAGACAACGCCTCGATTCCATTCCATTGAGCTCGCAGACAACACCGACTAGAGGAAGGCAGAGCAGGATTTCACAGTCCCAGCGTGAGTCTAATCCCTCGTCGAGCGTTCTCAATTCCAAAGCTTCAATCAAAGTGTCAGACCCTGATAATCCATGAGGAATGAGAAAAAAAGAGATCGTATCTTCATCCACAGCCAACAGTCGCTCGGCGTCCCCATCGTCGCGGCTGAGCTACGCCACGTACAACATGCTACCGGATGGCAGGGTTCGGAAATCAGGGATTCCTACACCGACTACCGGAAGGTCCCGGGAGCCCTCACCGACGAGGTGAGCCTCGATTCATTCCTCCATTCTTGGCTCGACACTCCTCCATTCTGGCCTCAGAAGTTCGACAGCTTTTATCATCTATCAATAGGATGTGCTGATTGTGAGAACTCCCTCTTCACAGGTCAATGTCAGGGTCATCAGTGAATATTATGCAGAAGTCAGTAGATCGTCGCAATTCGCTCACACGCCCTCCTTCCCGGAATCGCTACGATTCACTGGATCGAGTGCTTCGTAACGGACGAGACGGCGAAGAACGAATTCGTAACGCATTTTCGGTGAGTGCATTGTTTCGGAACTATTTCATCTCCTCCCTCCCTAAAACTAGCTCTTGAACCAGGTTGCCGATTCAGGCGGAGAGTTCTGATATGTACGGAAGAACCGATATTTCAGACGTCAACTCAGCCATACGCATCTCCGCTAACGTCTCGAGTTGCCTTCTCGGCCTCGCAGCAGCTGCCCTCATCGGCAGCGCAGCTGCAGGGCCAGGCCGGCGTAGCTGTAGCAAGCTGTTCCCAGCTGCATTCGCAAGGAGACAGCGAGGGCTCCTCCTCCATTTGTTCGGACATTTCGCGCCATGAAGACATGGCCGACATTCTCCTCAGCTTGGCGAGTGTCCATTGGTCCGACCGAAAGGAGGGTCTTCTTGTAAGTTTTTATCCTGGTCGCTCGCTACCTACCTACCGGTTCTTTGAATATATGAAACGGTATCGGGGACAGGTCGCACCTACTCTCGCACCTATTCTGAAAGCCGATGCACGACTGATAAGCGTGAGTTCCTGGGTCTGCCTTGATTGAGTTTCCCCTTCACCCAATCCAGGGCCTCAAAAATGTGCTAAGGTCGCATTCTAGAAGACTCTCGGAACTCGAACTATGTTCCGTGACCCAGACGATGAGCAAAATGTTCATGGATCCGCACACGAAGGTCAGTATCTCAATTTTGGGAGGGAATGGTGCACTCCCTTTCTGTTGGAAAATATGATCACCCATCGCCCCCATACAAATGAGATAACTTGGAACTTCCTGCCAGGTGTTCTCGCTATTCCTGGACACGCTGTGCGAGCTCGTGAGCAGCCACTCGGTGGAGCTTCACACCTTAGGCTTCCTTCCCATCCTCCTGACGAAACTGTTCACGAAATTGGGCCAGGATCTCCTGAGTTCGGTGAACACTAAAATACAATCAACTCTCGGTCTTGTCAGGGACGCCTTCCCTCGTCATGATCAGTTCATAGTAATCACGCGGTTCCTCAACGATCCGGTGCACCAATCAACCTCTGTCAAGGTAAGATACCACGAAAGCGAGCTCCGTTCAAATGTGGTAGACGAATTTCGACTAATCGTCCGAGAACGATCGGAAGGTTTGGTCCAACGATTGGCTAGTCTGGAGCAATCATTTCGGACTTGTTTCAGGTGAAGCTTACGGTTCTCCGCTACCTGTTGGTTTTAACCCGTTTGATGGACTCTTCCGAAGTTCCCTCAAACGACCCAAACATGCGGGACTGTCTCCACCGATTTGTCGCATGGGCGTCTGAACTCCCTGATTTTAAGGGCAAGGATATAATGGTAGGGCGTCGCTGAGATTTCCATGCGTGACAGTTTCTTCGATGGCGTGATGGATGCTTGGACAGGGAGTAGAACGAATTTTTCACTTCGACAGACCACGCAAATCGATGGGCGACTCCATTCGAGGCCGACGGAACTGGCCCAGTTGGCTCGAGCTTGCATTGGATCTCTGTACAGATGCAAAGCATCGTATTTTTCTCTCGTCATCCATCAGATGGCTCCTGAATATCAAAGAATCGCGCTTGACATCATCCAGAGCGAACTCCTCCTCCAGCATCAGCAACAACTCAAGTTCGATCATCCACAACCTCAGAAAATCATTCTCTCGAACGGCGGTGGCAGTTCTGGCGTCAGGTGCGTTGATTTTCCGCCCCGTGCCGAGATGACGAGCCCCCATTATAGATCTGGAGCGGTATGAGGATTGAATTTGAATCGAGAGAAATCCACTCATCGATTTCTATCGATTTCCAGCCGGTCGGGTAGCGACAGTCTGCCGTCTCCGATGACTCCGCAGAAACTGTCGTCTTCGCCGATGAGATCTCTGGATTATTTCGACCTGACCGATAACCCTGCGAGCTTGGCCAGCGAAGCCTCCCCAGGGACTCAGGGATTCAGTTCGGGGTCGGACGAGAGGCTCCAAGACAGCCCCAGTCGATCATTCCATCCATCTCAGAAAACCCAGAATGTGAGTGTTGTCACAGGGAGATTAGCTTCAATATGAAGTATGCAATAAGTTCTCCCTGGAAGATCGAGATGGACAAATTGCTTGATGATTCGATTCCCGCAGAGTACCTCTGGTGAAGGCCTCTCTCATTGCGTGTCGGTGCTGAGTTCGCCCCTGAATTCTTGTGAGCTGAAACGCGCAGCACTCCGTGAACTGACTGAACTCCTAAAATGTTCAAACCTCTGGAATTCCGAATACAACTTCAGGTGGGAATCGCCCAGTGATTTCCCTAGTAATGGACTGTATCTCAGCCTGCTTGACGCGGCTTTGAGCGCTCGATACATCGACTAGAGAAACTTCCAGATCCACGCTGAAGATTCTTTTGGACAACACCGGTGCCGCCGAGGAGGAGGCTCCGATCCGGGCCGAGTCCCTCAAGGTCTTGGCACTGCTAGTCGAGCAGCACCCCGAACATTTCGAGACGTACGCAGATTTGACTTTCGTCAAACTCCTCCAGACGCAGATGGTAAGTAGGACTAAGAGCCCGAATAGTTCCAGGCAGCTAAAGAACCTTCCAACATCGCAAAGTTCATAAGCCACCGTCGCGTCGCCTTAGAAACTTAACTCCGGTTCCTCGCAGGACAAGGACGTCCAGAAAGAATCGGATAACGCTATGCTGTCCGTTCTGAAATCGGCTAGAGTTCACAAATCGGCCGGCATCCTCGCCCGATTCGTAGCGGGCTGCCAAGACTGCAACATGATAGCTGCCGCCATCAAAATGATGTCAAAACTGGTCGAGCTGTCGTCGAGCGAAGATTTGGTCAACGCTCTTCCAACAATCACACCGGCACTACTTTCCGCGTACAATCACGACGAGTCTGCCGTGCGACGCGCGGCAGTATTCTGTCTTGTCTCACTCCATCAGAAGGTCGGCGCAGCCATCATGGAGCCATACTTGGCAGCGGTGCAGGGGTGCAAGGTAGGCGGAGCTCAACCAGTCCCAAATTTTGAAAATGCTCAATTTCCATTTCCCCGACAGAGGATAATCGAATACTCCTCCGAGAGATTCCCCTCTTTTCCAGTTGCGTCTTCTGAAGTTGTACATCGAGCGAGCGGCTCAACAGAAAACTCTTCCGCACTCCAATGGAATCAATCTAGGACCTCCAGGCGGTGTTTCGTCCGCTTGAAATCAAAAGTCGAGATCCCTCACGAAGACTTCGGAGATGTCGTCACATCCTCGTAAAGAATTCTTCTGACCTCCAAAAGCTTCTGTCTGCCAAGAGAGACGGTCTGACGGAATGTCAGAGTTTATTCTCCATCGTCCTGAGCATTCAGGAATCATGGAAGGATTCAAGTCTCCTCTTGCCCCGGACGAAAAACACCCGGCTTGCCTCGATCGGGCAGAGCTGAAAGCGCGCTCAGAGGCCAACATTTCTAAGACAATTGTATTGATTGCTGCGACCTGGATCGAGACGGGACTCATTTTTTCCCCGGCTTTTTGTACGGAAGAGCGGGCACGAGGTAATGATTTCATTGAGTTACGCACAAAACTAACTGATGAACAGACTCCCACGATTCGAGGGGAACTCCAACATCAATGGAATCGTTTGAATAATTCCCGGCGATACCTCGATGCTTGTATCAGTATCGGCGAGAATCCGCACATCTTGTGTCGGCAAAAAAAAACGAAATTGTGGAAACCGGACTTCCGGGAACCGTCGCGTCCGCCTGCCTGTGGACACCACGTGAAGATCTGCCATTGGGATCGAGTTGATCGAGATGAAGTGACGGAACCGTATCCTGGGCTGTTATTTTCGTTGATGTAAACGACTTCGGGAACTGTAAAATTGGAGAGAGCGTTCCCTTGCGCGCCGACGACTCCAGGAGCCTATCATCAAGAGCAGTCGCAATCATCGGTATGAGTGGGTGAATGTTCTCAATATAGAAGACTGCATTCACAAGTTCGTCTCAAGCTGTGCTCCAAAAAGAGGACCGGGCGCCGAGCTCTCTTCGATGGTGTACAGGTCCTCGAAGCCACCCGGTCAACTGCGATATTCTCTCTTGGGGAGCATGATGTTTTGATTCTGCGAAAAACCGAGCTTGATTTTGATCTAGGTATTCCTTGAACGAACGAGTCGTTTCTTCTAAGGGAATGAGCAGGTAACCCGCGCTCCCGGAAGTCTCCGGTGCCGCGGAGCTTGCGACTGGAGTCGGAGCTGATATTTCTCTGAAGATCAATTGTGTTGATAGTAGATAATAATTGAGTATCATAAGAGCATACCCAGTAAATAAAGTGCCAATTGCATGACTTATCCAGTTTCGCCTCGAATTCTGATCTACTGTATTGCTTCGTATCTTGCGAATTCATTGACCCATATTTGAGTGACCTGACTCCTCGAGCTTTTGCATGAAAAATGCGAGATCTCTTTGTTCATCCCTAGACTACATTCGGTACCCACGATCGAAGCCGATATCATTCCAAATCACGTGAAGGTAGTTCTTCGATCAGGAACCGCTGGAACCCGAACATCCGCGAGGAAGCATCGTCGCGTTGCTGGCGGGAGAGACGGGGTCGATTCCTGAATTTCTAGACTCTCGACGAACTGACCATTCGCTCGCGATGAGGATTTGCTAGACACACAAGAGATGCAGAAGGGAGGGAACGAGGTTGTTGTCACTCGAAATCTTCCGGGTTCTGGCTTCAAGCCTGGAAGGCCAGATGGGGTCCCGGTGCCGTCTTCTCCCTGACAATCCTTGAAGATTGATACGGACGCACGCCGAGAAGTGTCGAACGCGGGAGCATTATGCCCGGTCGGGGCATTCGGAGTCAGTCTTTCAGCCCTCGAGATTCAACGGGGGTAGACTGTTCTGAGGGTTCTCTGAAATAACCTTCGACGGGTCGATTGGTTGAGGTTTCGGGGTACGGGGAACGAGAAGGTCCACAATCGAGTAGTACCGGGAGTTTCATAATGGCCCATGCGCGTTTAAGATCGAGAGACTCCAGCCAGTAGGGACTAGAGACCTAAGCGAGGTCATCTAACCAAGTCGGATCAGGAGACTTTTCATGATCAACCGGTATATACATACAGAAAGCGGGGGGTTCATGCCGTGCGAAGTGACCGCTCCGAATTCACGTCGGTCTCAAAACCCGTGGTTTCACGAATCTCGAGAGGTGGACGAGGCATCTCCGGGATCGATCTCCACCAAGTATACGGAGACAATCACGACTCACAACCCATATGCGACGGAAGCCTGTCCCCTCCACAGATGCTCTAGGCTCCCGTGAATAGGTTCGGGCCGAACCGCTTTTACACAACGAGCTTGAACCCAAGAGTTCGACTCTCGTGATTGGTCGATCCGGGAGGAGAGCTCATTCTACAATGAGTCAGTGAGCTTTCCACACTGCCACGTTGAGTGACAGAATTGGAATCAGACAGCGAAGCATCCCCCGCTGCTGAAGCTGCTAATGCATTGAACAATGAACGGAAGAGGATAATGCGCTCGCCAATGGTGTCCCTCTCGCCCTGGCAGCCTCCTTGAGAGACGGATATGATTATTCATGTGTGAAGATTTCTACAAGTTTATTCGATCCCGGTTAGGGTCTACCACAAAGCCTTCTGGATTCCAGAAAGCTTGTTGTAATCGGCGAGGTGTCGCCAGGCGTGCCGTGCTAAGCGGTATCGTATACTGACGTTCCGAGGATATGAGGTAACGCAACACCTGTGAGACACAATAAGTGAGATCCATGAATCCTTCTTATTCGGGAACTTAATGATTCCGAAACCAGCTCTACGGACCTCTGATGTATCCGAACCGTAGCAGAATCCCTCGGGAGTTTTTTCAGCTCTTCATGGGCAGCCTCTTGGAGAACTCTCGGCAGAATTGTGTTCTTCCGCAGAGTATTCAGCTGATTCCGCTCGAAATAATGCTTCGCAACGCACTGCGGATGAGAACCGAAGAATTTTAACAGATGAATATCGTCCTGCTCCCTTGATTCAAATCACTAATTACTAATCAGCGGTCTCGCCATCTAGAGACCTCTGTGTCCAAACGGCGGGGAGCTGTCTCCGACTCTTGGAAGATGTAGAAGGCCTTCACTCTAAGCCCGGCATAAGCATCAAGGGAGCGTTCTTCCGAACCGATCCCCATGCTGGAGTGAGATCTGGGAGACTAAGAAACTTCGGAAGAGGAGCCCTTCCAGGGAACTTTGGGTCATGGGCAACTGGAGGTGTTAGGCCCTGCGGGAGTGACCTCGTCGAGAGCAGGGCCATATTCGTGGGTTTCCTAGGCTCCCCGAGAGACCTCCCACAATCCTCGATGCACCGCGGGCCTAATTCACACTGAACTGGAATATCGAGTTCCATATCCTTCTCCCAGGACTTACCTGTCTCCTCTTGTAATCTCTGAGCATCCTCCAGTCCGTCATGTATCCTCGACATTGAATCTCGGCTATAGGATTGCGGGCCACGATACTTGACGTGAAACGCGCCAAAGCCTGCATTTTCCACGTTTCCACGCACGAAATCGGTCGCGCAGGAATCGCATGTATAGACACCGTTCCGCTGGTTAGCGCTAAATCACGGATCCGTGCCTCTGATTTCTGTCGGGAGACGCGGTCTTTGCGAACGCTCAATGGGGGTCTCGATGACAAGCGACGGATTCCTCAGAGATGAGCGTCTAGCTCGATCCCTAAACCTCGGACTATTGAAAAAAAAATCCAGGGAGTTGCCGCTGAATACTCTCGAGTCGAGAGTCTCGACTCGAGCGTCCCTCGCGGCAATCGCTCCGACTTGCCGATAGAGAGCCCTACTAGGGGCCTCGCTGTATAGGAACTCACAGCAAACACGATGGTACCTCGCCGATACAGCACGACTCTCCTTCTGCACGTGAGATGTGACCGGCGATCTCGCCTTGAATGCAGAAGGGATCATGATCCTGGATTCTTCGAAACCAAGCTTTTTCGGTGCGCTACATGGGCGGGCAATCGCGTTTCTCGGAGGAGAAATACCCGCGTTGTTCGGTTGTTATTTGGGATTCAGTGGCTCTCATGCTCGCAACGCTCAGAGGAAGGGTCGCAATTCTCCCTCCTTTCCAGCCACAGTGTCGTATTCGGAGGAAAATATTTTTTCTCCCAATTCTACCGGGTAGAGCCTGACCATGTGAACACGAAAGACTGAACATGAAAATCGATGCCTGGTCACGATTCTGATGAGGTCCTCACTATTTCAGGCGATTGATGAATGATGCACGAAAGATGGGCAAAGATTACTTTATTCATTTTCCATCGATCGCGGTGCGAGCCTCTGATCAAATGCGGAGGTTTGCTTCAATTGAAGTGCATCGAATCTCCATGGATCTCTTCCAAGCACTGCTTCAGCCGACCCACTCTTGTCAGAAATGCTTAACAGAACATTTCAATGGTAGGGAGACTCATCACCCACGGATTCTTGGGAAAATTGCACAGTGATTTTAAACCTGCTCTGCGTCTTACTCTACAAATTACCGAAATCAGAGATTGGAGCACTCTGGAATCGTAACAGATAAGAAAATCAGTCTTATTAACAATTATTCTTCCTCGCTACCGAAATCAGCCCATCTACCACGTCTCAAAGCGTGATAGGCATTCCGAAGATTGTGTTTTACGGAAATCATTCAGTGATATTCATAATCACTGTGTAACTCCTCACTAAGGACCAGCCATATCCCGTGCCACGGGAGCCTCCGCCTCGATAGAGAGACCGAACCAATGTTTGGTGAACACGACGAATTTCTCCATCATGAACCGTGCTCCGCGGAAAGATGTCCAGGTCTGATCTTCCCATTCAGTCTCCTTACACGTTTTGCATCGAGACTCGGCTGTGTGGAAGGAGTCGATGCTTGCAACGGAGATCTTATCCGAGAAACCATCGAGACTTTATCTGGCTGAGCCGAAATCGCTCGAGAGCGTTATCAGCACGCGCAGGAGGGGTGGTCTTTAACAGCGTCATAATGATAGTAACTCGCTTACGAACAATAGCCCTCGGCTTGAGAGCTTATTGTCAAATATGCACAGTTTGTGTTTTTTCTTCTTTATTTTTAACCTCGTTCAATGCTGGCTAAGATCGATCAAACGAGTCTAGAGAAGGTATCAAAGGAAGAAGGCGTGTTCGGAACGTAAGGCTCATCGATATGGAGATTTCACTACTTACGACTGCTCAGCAACTTCTCACTGACACCGGCGGGCTTTGGTTAAAGATCTCCGATCTGATGGAGCGCTCGAAGTCCACGGACGACTTAAGTAGATTAATTCATCCTGAGGACGCCGATGTTTCAGAGCATCGAAGTGCCAAGCTTTGAGGCGCGCTCGATCTCAGTTGAGATCCGAAGCCGACTGTTGCGCCCAGGTGCCGGCGAACAGTGAGTGGCAAACACCAGTTGGAACATTCAGCAGCACGGTATTTTTGAGATATTTTCCTCAACTAGCTAGTTTCATTTCCCGATGCTCACATCACGGCTACGAGAAACTACGAGTGAGTCTATAAAGTGGACGCTCTGTTGACCCGCCCGATATTCGGACCCGAGTCTCGCTTCCCATCCCGATTTGTCGGAGTATGCGTTGAGTGTGGAGTTATCTCTGCGGTCACGCTCATAGAGATTAGCCTCAGGAAGGCTTGCCGTGATTGCCGATTACATATACTTGAATGATTCCGCAGAGCATATGAATCGTATCTGCGCGTTGTGCGTATACGGCAACGCGTAATCGAGGCTCGTCGACTCGGCACGGGATATTGCTGGACCAAGCGTCATGCTCGATATCTTCTCATTCCCTGCTTGATTTTTAGATCGCGTTTCGTCGAAGATTGAATCGTAAGCGAGCACTGAAAAATCTAATGCGGATCGATTGCTTGGATGGCTGCTTGCTGTTCTCGCCGATAGGCAGATCTAATGAGTAATCGATTGATAAATGGCTTCATAATGATCAGCTGAAAATTTCGCTCCTCGTCTGTCTGTCTGTCTGTCCGTCTGTCTGATTCTGTCGGTCTCAGAGACTGCTCCGATAGGTTGCCTCCTCGAGTTTCTGGATCAACGAAAATCTCTGGAAGACAACTGTATGTCGAAAGACGTCGAGCCTTCCTCAGAGGTTTCCTGTTTTCGCGAAGAGCGATTTTTTGTCAGGGTCGATTGTTAGAGATCCTCTCCAGAATGGAATACGTTCCACAAACGATCATTGGAGCAGTATTGGAGGAAAAGTGCTCAGCTGATCAGGCAGTGCCGCGATTGCAGTCGGAGCCCTGGAAACAAGAGGAACGGGCTCCAAGAAGCTGCTCAAGCAGAGGAGACGTCGGTCTCGCACGCGCTCGGGGGCACCGGATTGGAGCAGAATCTTATCTTAATAATGAAAGAGACTCATCGACGAGTTCCATGGGAGGCAGATCGTGAGCGCAAGTATGATTTCCATCTCCCGTTTAGGCAGAGCCGGGAGCGATGGATCATTTGGAAAATCTCCGCCGGAAAAAACTTTCAATTTTCGCGGGGACCCACAAGAGAACTAATCCCAGCGAATCTTTCCGATGAGCTCCGAATGTCTGGGACGACAAAACGGAATTCAAGCTCACGTCCAAGCCGGAGAGCGGTTATAGACGCAAATCACACAAAAGGTCCAATGGAATTCAGAGCTTCCGGTCGGGAACCGCGAGTTAGTCCGGAGCATGGAGTCAAATAACTACAAAGGATCACAGGAGAGCGGGGCGCTTCGCCTTGTAGGAATCTGGTGAGGACCTCAGCCATGGCAACCACCGAGCCCCTACGGTCTCCTCCTTCGACTCCCCAGGAATTTCCGAATCTAACTCTATGAATGAGATACATGAGCATTCGGTAATCGAGGGTTGAAGCACTCGCGTCGCTCTCACAAATTGATATGCTCCGGGAGTTCCGGAATCGTTCCGATATCATCGACCTTGAATGTCCGATCTTGGCTGTAAATTGAATGGATATGATTGAAAGCTGTACCAAGCTCCTGTAGTTCATACCATCGTCGATTCACGATCAGCACGCTGTTCTCTGCGACTGTAGCCTAGTGCTGCTCTAAATGAGTAAAGCGTCTTATTTACTGCATCGATCGATTGGGAAGCAATGCTTCAACGAGCGTCGTCATCACGCATCGCTGAATTGGTCTTGGCTGATGGTGGAAAAGTACCCGAAAAGCATTCTCGAGGGGAAGGGGGAACTGACAGCGAGATATACACACGGTTAGTGGTCTACGGTCCGGTTCAGCTGCTGCTGCCTCTACAACTCCAGGGATGTTCGACATTCTGGCCTAAAGAAGTGCGCTTTTCCAAAAAGGTCCCAGTTACGAAAGTCTCCAATAGTTGTCGTTGTTCTGGACAGGATGACTGATTCTATTCTAAAAGTTGTCGAGAACCTCCTTCTCTCCTCCACGAGTTCCCCCGCCAGGTTCCGACAACGTGAGACGAACTTATGTGGTATAATCAGGTGTCACATTTTCTCTCCTCTATATGAATACCATGCCCACCGAACAACTCATGAGAAACTTTCGTTTTTGGCTGATTCGCTGCTGAATGATCGATGCTCCAATGAATGAATGATTGATGATTCCTTGCGCAATGTACGGCTTGATACCGATGACAAATGATGAAGGTTCACGGAGGAGAGCTCCGGGGAGGTCTACGTCGATAATGATGGGATGAGATGGGAAAATATCCGTCAGGCGTGAAATTCTGCATACAGTCTAAAAAAACGGTTGTTGACGAATATGATTATAGCATTCAGCTCGGTGACGAGCGGAAGTCGTTGGTTGCTAATTTGTGGTTCGCTCGGTATATAAATACAGTGTTCTCGGCTGGTAAGGCAATGGGAAGGGATTGTTTGGTCGAGAGTCAGAGGATTTGATCTGATTCCGATTTCTTCTTCTCGTGTCTCCGCCCCGATGCGGATAAGCGGATCGGTTCGGTTCGTGGTCATCCAGTTACGAAAAGTCATTCGAGTCTGTTACACTAACAGAGGGATCACAATAAAGCATTCGATTCCGCGCTTGACCTTCGTTCGGGATTGATTTCTCTGTCTGTTGCCTTTCTGCCCTTTGCTTTGTCTGAGAATGACCCTGAAGTGTGAAACATCCTGCCCACGGGATTTGGGCTCCTTTTCTACAGTCGTCGTGGTCGTTGCTCTAATCTTTTGGGCGTCTGTACTAGATGCTGCTGATCGTCGTCGATATTGTGCTACCGCCTAAGCTTGATAATTGAATCGAGTTCGTGGCAGCTTATCTCTTTCGGTTTCTCTGATGTTTTACAAACTCTAGGGCTTCTCTGTCCCACTGACGGGCTTCTAGCGTTGTCAGAATCTCGTCTGAAAATAAAATAAAACCAGCCTTAGCGTTTTCCTCTAGCCGCCATTCGGTGGGTAGAACGCGTTGCTCTCTTCGAATCGGTGAATCTCCTTCTCGGCTAGTAATCGACCTTCTCGTCCGCAGGGATGAAGACCCCACGGGAGTCAGAGAGGGTCAGCGGCAGAGTCAGAGGGAGGTATGAGAAATGATGTGTAGAGCAAGTTCGGCGTCGACCTTTGCCTCGATAATCTTCTCGACGAGCTCAATCCATGGGTAGATTCGGAACCACGAACGATGAGGAAGAAGAGGAGCTAGTCTAGATGGACGATGCATATTCGGCGGCGATCTTATGATACCAGCCAGAGAGCCGAAATGCGACCCGATATCTTAGCCAGTAATTTGATTATTATCGACCATCGATCCATTGGCCGCCTCCGAACCCTGTGGAAATTTTCTTCGCTCCCCCATCGATCCTCGGGACTCAAGTGAGATTGTCTCGGGCTCAAATTGCAGTTTTCGATGAAGGTCAGCCGCGCTCTGGCCCAAGGGACAATTTTCGTGGGTCCAACGGACTTGTGATGTGCCAACACAGCATTCGATAGACTCAAGGTGGTTCCCCCTCCTCTTGGACCCAGATCCGAATTAGGATATCGCTTACTTTTCTCTTTGGGCTGAAGAAGCGGTAGCTCCATGGGGGTTACATTGAGTATGTTGCCAGTTCCGTCGACACCTGCCACTTGGGTAACGCGTAGAAAAGCTTCGCCTTCAAAGTCGTTCTTCGTCATCATATCAAAATCCATAACGGTAAAGCAGATCATAGCAGCCTCGTGACGGCAGCTGCTGATGCTCACCGAGCTGAAAAACAAACGGAAATCGAAGCGGATGAGATCCTTGAGATCAAGCCTAATGATCTCGGCGAGGACCAACCCGAATTTGAGCATCGGAATCTCGGGTATTCGGTTGGTGGGAGAGTAGGATGTCCTACAATTCGGAAACTTCGACTCACAATTCGAAAGTTTCGTCGAACTGAGGGAAGAGCGTTCGTTTCTGCACCCGAGTGCGCACATTTGGGGGCTGATGCGGGAATAAATGTCGCGGTTGTAGTTCTACGACGACATAGGGGTCAGAGTAGCCGTTCGGGTCCATCGGGATAAGGTCACGCGCGTTGATAACTGAAAGAGTAATTTCCTCACGCCTCATTCGCGAGACTTTCTACTGTAAAGTTTCACGCGCTTTACTCTCTAATTCCATTCCTAGGGGGGGTCACTCACCCTCAACGATGAGGCACTCCGCCGCGGAGTTATAAAAGGTTCTGACTTGAAGATAACCAAACGGGTTGGGCGAGTGGTGACACAGTTGGATTTGATCGTGTTGCTCATTCAGTCGTGTGAAGCAGTACTGCTCGATAAGCGTATGTGTGTCGTCTTTGTGGTACTGCAGGAATTTATCCAAATCATAGTAAGCAGGGTTATGGAGACTAGACAAACTGAGTCCCTTTTCGTTTCCATGGAAGAAATCGCAAAGGTGATGCAGCGCTAAAAACAGTCGCTTGAAGAAAGGTAGACGCTCTCCGACGTTATTTCGGGCTGTCAGCGTCAACTCTTGCAGAACCACCCTCCACACGGTTTCTAGCACTCGGTAGAAATTCACGCGCATCAAATTATTATAGAGCACCTAGAGGATTCAGAGCAGACGTTAGGTTGTTCGAGACGATGTCTATACTCTTCATTCTCCCCCTATGAGAAGTCGTCTCACCTTGAGGTTCGCGTCTAGATAATCCATGAGGGGACCGAGACCTGCTCTAGCATCTATTTTCTCGGGGGCCCAGGCCAGATGAAAAAGGTGTTTCTTGACATCGGGTCTCATCTGGAAAGCGATCACAGTTTTCTTATACATTCGGGAGGATACACTCGGGGTATAAATCTAGCAGGAGACTCGGGACCTCCCGGGAGTCTGTCTCCCGTTAATATCACCAGGTACCGAGAAAAGACGCGACAGTTCTTTGGATAGCTTATCTAAGTAGTAAGTTCGAGCATCGTCCTTAAGAAGGTTGCCCGAGCGAGCAATTTTAAGGGCCGATTCCAGCGAGCGCATAAGTCGAGCCTTACAGGGCACGGAAAATTGCCGTCAGAACCTTATGAAAGGGAATATCCCGACAGGCGGGGGTACGGCAGCTAAGTGTGGAGGGAATCTCCTTGATGTCCTCAAATTCACAAGGTTCCCCCATTCGGAGGGAGTTCCGTCCATCATCACTATCATGTGAGTAAGAAAAAGATGTGGGTAGGATAGCGTTCGTAATATGAAGGTATAGGAGCGAGTCGCCATGTAGGATATCAGCCCCATTCGGAGATCCGATACAGCCCCCCTACAACGAAAATCCTGCGGGAGCCACACTAAGCAGGCCCCGGGCTAGAGATCCGTCGAAACAATTATTCCTTAGCCGTTTAGCGGATTCGGCGGAGTAGTCTTCTCCGTATAGTTCCTCTCGGGGATTTTCGGAGAGAGGACTAAGGATCACTGACCTTTTCTGCTAAGCCAGCGATGACTGTCAGAAGTTTCTGTACCACATCATCCATGCTGGTCTGGAGCAAAGTTAAGAGGGAACTCTTGCACCTATCAGAGGTTTGGTGACCATCGGTCTTTTCGATTGCCAAGAAAACCTCTTCACACTGAAGTTCCTCATTGATGGGACGCAATGCCCTTCTGACGTGCTCGATATTGTTTATGATGATGCACACCTGAGAACGATGAACATTTCCAATATAGTATTCTCAGCCAATCCTTCACTCATGCGCGACTTCACTTTTCCTGGGGGCGACTTCTTCAAAACGCCCGAATTTCCGATGCGCCTGAAACCCTGCTGACCTCGTTCGAAGCCCCGAGTGGCCACCTGACAGGAATCGCAAGAATGGAGGGGTGGGGGGACGAGTCCGAAAATGTATCCCCGAATCGAGGTCAGAGTTATCCGGTGGGAATGTGAAGTCAGCCTGTCAAATAGAGCGTGGAGAGAAACTCCGTTGTCGAGAGGGGAGATTAAACGCTCTTGCTCACCTCTTCGGTTACGTCAAAGGAACCTTCCTCATCGTAATAGCCAGCGGTATAAAGCTTCATGTGGCAAAGATTTGCGTAGAAGACAGCTCCGTCGCAAATTGCCTGCAAGCGAAGTTTTTCTTTCGATTAAAAGCCTCGTAGAGGACTGAAACTTTTCTGAACTACGCTCTCCGTGGTCTGTTTAAATTCTCCGCCGGGGAATTCTCTCTCCCCCCAGGAGGGACTCAGGGAGGTAAACAATCTACAACATCGAGCAGAGAATAGACGGTGCTTCAACCTAATGGAATTCTCAGGATGCCTCGATGTATCAGCTCCACCTACGGCAGGGGCGATCAGTTGAGAGAAATCCTCGGATTTCCAAACATGATTCATCGATACTCACCTCTACAATTTTCATCACGAAGGGGAATGAGGTTCGCTGGTCAGACCACGCCAACTGTTTCCAGAACTCTTTTATCTGATCGAAGCATGTGGTCGTATCGACAGCCGAAGTGCTATGTTGCACGTTGGTATCCACGAACTTCAGTTGCTACGGAGGAAAAAACATTTCAGATCCCCGAGGATCAAGAGCCATGCCGTACGACCATCTACAGAGGGTGCTCGAGTATGGTCACAAATAGCGAACGTTCACACGTCACGTATTGCTTGTGCAAGCTCGTAGGGGCGTATTCATTCCGTAAGGATACGTATTCTTATCACCGTGACATACTTCCGACGACACATACGAGCACCGATATACGCGCGCCTACGGCTCCTTACTCGCACCGATCCTCACAAGAATATCTCTGCGGCTCTCGAGGATGCCAATCGGGCAGCTTGTGCTCTGCTCACGAGCTATCGAATATTCGTGGATCCAAAGGAAATCAGTGATATCTCGAATTTCCGTGCGATGAGGAATCCCTCTCATGCATGAAGTCGGAGTACCAGAAAGCATATTCACAATCGTCGAACGAGGAGCTGTATCACTTGAGGTACTCCGAGCTTGCCGGTTCGGGGAGAAAACCATACGAATGAGATGCGTCAGAAAACTCAGGTATCCGCGATGCGACGTTCAGACCTTTTGAGCAAACGTTCCGAACATGACTGGTGTGTCAGCTGTGTTTTCTCTAAACGTCTCTCCGTACCTTTTTCTTTGTCAAGAGGAATCCTTTCCCCATCTGGCAGACAAATCCCCAGCAAAGTTCATATTAGAGTATGACATGTTCCAAGTTTATGGAGTTCAAAGCTAAGGAGTACCCGAGGTCCCTCGGTAAATCCCGTCCCGGGAAATCTCGAGGCGACCCCACGAGGGACCGGATCGCGCGAATTCGCGACCGAGCTCGATACCTATGATAACCGCGGAGGATGCTATCGTTGACGGGATAACTATCCGTCATCTCTGCTACTACTCAGCCTAAATTAAGGAGTGTATCCGATTTACCTTCTGTGATCGCGGAGTGGGCACACACAGAAAGAGAGAAATTCCAATTAGTGAAGGAGTTATCGTCTACAAAGAAGCCTGATTCAGGAGCATGAGATGAATATCTGCCGAAAATCCGAGACCGTCCTCACCCTGTCAATTTCGAGTGCTTTTCGGATCCGGAGGCGGGCCTTGCCTTTAGCGATAATGAACCAGGACTGGATAGCGTCGCTGAACCAATGCTGGAAGGAATGAACGGGTCGCTGGGCGTCGTTCACCCGGCTGTAAGTGAACGACATTTGTTTGACTCCATCGTCGCGCGTCGGGCTCCATTTCAGTGATCTGACGAGCAGTCGCCGAGCACTGCCGGTTGCGACAAAAGCCCCCGTGCGGAGCCTGTATGCCACCGGGAGTTTCAGAAAACAGATCGCGACTTTCACGAGATGTCTAGATCAGAGATGCAGGGTGACACCAAAACCGCTCTTCTAAATCCTAAATGACTCGAAACAGTTACAATGAGTTCAAAGGAGCTCAAGTTCCTGTCAACTCACTCGATATTGTGGTTCGCGCGGAATTTGTTGAACTCTAGGAGCGCCATGTACAGCTCGAACATTGTAGTTCCTATTGCTAGGGCTTCATCGTGGTCGGCACTGATGCTCGCGTTCACAGGGTTTTCCTGGGCAGCAATTATGGCTTTGACCTTCTCTGCTAGCGCCGAGTGAACCTAGAAGAGCAATCTCTTATTAGCCTGACTTCCGGGGCTGTCGTTAACTTCAGATAACTTCGGAATCGTAATCGTTCATGGTTTTCGGAAGGCTGCCTGGTGCCCGTCGAGATAATTATCTTGTTCTTCTCTCCTTTTCCCGATACAGGGTTGCTCGGGAAATGAAATGAGCGATATTGCTGCCAGTTCCCCACCGGTATATTATCTCCCGTCTGATGAGGGTCGGCACGGAGATGCGCGGAGAAACTTTCGGACTTTTATTATGCTTAACTTTTTTCCTGCGAACGAGCTTTCCAAAGGCCAACTGCTTTTAAAAGGGTTCGTCCTGAACGAAAACACTTTTCGATCCGCCTGATATCGCCAAAAAAATAGAATTGCGATACCGCGTTTGAGGACGGAGAGCCATCGATTCCATCTTTTTCGGCTGCTTGGGGGACAACAGCCAAATGAAAAGAAAATAATAGAGATCGAACGGGGAATCGACGAAAATAAACTTTAAGGCTCCTCGATGAGAGCGCGTAGCGCTGTTCCTTCAACACGATCGTTCCCGAGAATCGCCCTCCGACAAAGTGGATTTGAAGCCTGTGTTCAAATTATTCCCCGAATGTCCACGAATGAAGTCCGAACCGGACGCGGGAAGCTGGACCTTGTCGATTCGGGGTGGCAAAATGTCGGCACCTGGTCGGGGGAGAATTTCCGGGCCGTTGATTTCTCTCGTTTCATTAATTCGTCGGCGCTGAGAGTGAGGAAACATTCAGCGGGAAAGAGAAATCACTGAGGATTGCGTTTGCCCCTTCAACGCGCGCGGTTTCCGATCAAGAGTCGTCAAATTGGCGGGAATTAATATAGAAGAAGCGCTTATCTATCGGAAACGCTGAGTTGCATCGACGAAGCGACTCGGACTGGCGACCGAGACTTGATCACACAGAATCGGGACTTCAT